GCCAGAGAAAACCATAATTCAAAAAGACACACACACCCCAGTGTTCACTGCAGCCAGCACTATTTACAACAGCCAGGATATGGAAGCAATCTAAATGTTCATTGACAGAGGAATGGATAAAGATGTGGTACATATATATAATGGAGTATTACTCAGCCATAAAAAGGAATGAAATGGTGCTATCTGCAGAGACATAGATAGACTAAGAAACTGTCATACAGAGTGAATTTAAGTCAGAAAGAGAAAAACAAATATTGTATAATACTGCTTATATATGGAATCTAGAAGAATGGTACAGATGAGCTTATCTGCAAACCAGAAATAAAGACACACATATAGAGAAAACAACTTATGTATACCGAGGGAGAGAAGGGAGGCGTTGAATGAATTGGGAGATTGGGACTGACATATATACACTACTATGTATAAAGATGGAGAAGGAAATGGCAGCCCACTCAGTATTCTTGCCTGGGAAATCCCATGGACAGAGGAGGCTGGTGGGCTACAGTCCATGGGGACACAGACGAGATGGCCGTGACCGAGCAGCTAAACAGCGGCAAACGTACGAAGTGATGCGATCCAACGGTCCAGCGCGGGGCTCTCCTCACTGCTCTGTGGCCACCTCAACGGGGAGGAGTCTGAAGAAGAGGCAATGCCTGCCTGCCTGTAACTGATTCACTTCGCTGTGCAGCAGAAATGAACACAAAGCTGTCAAACTGTACTCCAGTAAAAATTAATTTTAAAAAGGTATAAAAAATATTACCTTGGAGTGTTGCACTAGAATTTTAAGTGTTTCTAACATCCCAGTCTTGAGTTCGTATTCCAGATCGTGGAGAGCACTTGGGAATGGTCCCAGGAGAGCACTTGGGAATGAAAAGTGAGAAAACTCACTCTCCCCTGCAGCGGTCAGCCTCTAGAATTCAAGCAACTGATTCTTTCAAATGTAACATGCAGCTTCATTTGATGACTGAAGGGGAAATCTATCTTAAAAGACATCTACTGAAAGCCCTGTACCATGTTAGAGGCACTCTTTCTCACTTAATTTTCACATTCCTGGGTGATGGATACTCAGAGTTACCCTTGTTTTATTGTTGGGGAAATTGAGGCTCAGAGAGGTAAAGTAATTTGCTCAATTACTGGGGGAAAAAGGAGCCTGGAATCAAACATCAGTCTCTTGAACTGCAGAGCTTCTGCTCTTTCCACCATGAACTTCCTCCTGTATGAAGTATGCCTTCTAAATGGAGAGACATCCATAATATGACAGAAGCCTCAGATTGCCTTTTCCAGTATCCTCATCTTATAGATATGAACATACTGAGGCCCTCACATGTCTTACAGATATAAACACACTGAGACATTACTTTGCTGACAAAGGTCTGTCTAGTCAAACCTATGGTTTTTCTGGTAGTCATGTATGGATGTCTGAGTTGGACCATAAAGAAAGCTGAGTGCTGAAGAATTGATGCTTCTGAGCTATGGTGTTGGAGAAGGCTCTTGAGAGCCCCTTGGACTGCAAGGAGATCCAACCAGTCCATCCTAAAGGAAATTAGTCCTGAATATTCATTGGAAGGACTGATACTGAAGCTGAAGCTCCAGTACTTTGGCCACCTGATGAGAAGAACTGACTCACTGGAAAAGACCCTGATGCTGAACGCAGGAGAAGGGGATAACAGGGGATGAGATGGTTGGATGGCATCACCGACTCAAGGAATACGAGTTTGAGCAAGCTCCGGGAATTGGCAAAGGACAGAGAAGCCTGGCGTGCTGCAGTCCATGGGGTCACAAAGGGTCAGACAAGACTGAGCGACTGAACTGAGCTGAACTGAGGCCCAGAGGACTAATGGACTTGTCCAAAGATACGTGGGTAACTGGAGACAGAGCCAGGGTGGGAACACAGGCACTCCCAATCACACAGAAAACACTGACATATTGGGACAAGCTGGAAAACAGCACTTTATGAATCTGGAGAAAAGATGGTAATTTTGAGCCAGAAAGCAGTGGTAAGGCAAGTTTTTAAGGTAAAAGATGGTGTGGGTTCACAGTGAAGAGCATTTAGACCTCAGCAAAGCAACAAGCTAAAGCCATAGGCAGGTGGGTGGGGCCAGTATGGGCTGCTGCTAGGCTGTCACTGACTGCAAAGGCAGAACTTGGCAGGAAGTGTGGTCCCCGTGCCTCCTGACCTGCTCTGTGCACACATCCTGGTCTGTGGTTAAGGGCTGATCCCCTGAGAGATGCAGACTTTGGCCTGAAGCTGGGAGGTCCTTAAGAAAAACTTCAAAAAAACTCTATCCCTAAAAACAAAACAACAACAACAACAGTTTTGTAAATACTACTCAATTCAATAGCTTAGGCCACCAAGAGACAGGCCATATCTCCTGAATAGGAGTCTGAATCCTTGTTAGTGCTTGTGAAAAAAAAAAACAACTTTTTTTTTTAAAGTCTGAAACAATGTAAGTTGTTATTATTGTTTCTGTTGAGGGAGACAAATAAGCATGTCAAAAAGAAAAGAAACAAATCCACCTGTGAACTTTCATTACAATACAACTCTATGCTGCTAAGTCACGTCAGTGGTGTCCGACTCTGTGCGACCCCATAGACGGCAGCCCACCAGGCTCCCGTCCCTGGGATTCTCCAGGCAAGAACACTGGAGTGGGTTACCATTTCCTTCTCCAGTGCATGAAAGTGAAAAGTGAAAGTGAAGTTGCTCAGTCGTGTCCGACTGGTAGCGACCCCATGGACTGCAGCCCACCAGGCTCCTCCATCCACAGGATTTCCCAGACAAGAGTACTGGAGTGAGTTGCCATTGCCTTCTCCCACAACTCTTTATAAGGGGGCATAAAAAAGACATGGAAGCGCCACTTAAGGTGAAAAGAACTACTCTTAAACTGGGAGTCTGACAACAGCCACTCAGCAGCAGCTCGGTCCAGACAGACGGGGACCCTGATGGAGAGGCGACTGGCCCACAGCCCCTCCCTCCCTGGGTTACTGCGGACCCTCTGTGGTTCACTGCGGGTGAGAAGCAGAGTGGCCGAGATGAACATTTAACAAAAAAGAACCAATAAGGCAGAACCTCCAAACACATAGGCGTGATATCCAAGTCTTATGTCTAGCAGATCACATGCTCCACATTTCAATAAAAGTCAATTTGAAGATGCAAAGTCTTGTATTTAGGGCACTCTTCTTGCCAGTCTAATCACTGTGAAGCTTCATAAATGATTCTTGGATTCCAGCCTTGTTCTACTAAACCAGAATCTCTTGTGGTAAGACCCAAGAAAGTGTTCTTTCCAAACCTTCCAGGGCAAAGAAGAAGGATGAACATTGAAGAATTGATGCTTTCGAACTGTGGTGTTACAGACGACTCCTGAGAGTCCCCTGGACTGCAAGGAGATCCAACCAGTCAATCCTAAAAAAATCAACCCTGAATATTCATTGGAAGGACTGCTACTGAAGCTGAAGCTCCAATACTTTGGCCACCTGATGGGAAAAGCTGATTCACTGGAAATGACCCTGATGCTGGGAAAGATAGAAGGCAGGAGAAGGGGGAGACAAGGGATGAGATGGTTGGATGGCATCACCGACTCGATGGACACGACTCTGAGCAAGCTCCGGGAGATGGTGAAGGACAGGGAAGCTGGATGTACTGCAGTCCATGGGGTCACAAAGGGTCAGACACGGCTAAGCAACTGAACAACAACAAGGGGAAAGAATAGCCTTTCCAACAAATGATGCTTGGATAAAGACATCCACATGCAAAAGAATAAAGCTGGATCCCTACCTCATACCTTATAAAAACTAAATCAAATAGATCAAAGTCCTAAACATAAAAGTTAAAGCTACAAGAAGAAAATACTAGGTAAATATTTGTGCCCTTGGATTCGACTACAGATTTTCACATGACACTAAAAGCACACACCATGAAATATAAAAACAGACAAGATGAACTTCTTCAAAACAGAAAACTTTCCTGCTTTAAAGAACACTTTAAAAAAATGAAAGACAATCCACAGAATTAAAGAAAACATTTGAAATACATATCTGATAAAGGGTTCATATCCAGAATATACAAAGAAATCTTGCAAAACAACAATAAAAAGACGAACTGATTTTAAAAGTGGGCGAAAGATCTGAATAGATATTTCTTTAAAGAAGATACACAATTGGCTATACAGGAAAAGATGCTCAAAATCATTACTAATTAGAGAAATGCATATCAAATCCACAATGAAATAGAACTTCACATTCAATGGTTACAGATACAGGTTACAAAAGACAGATAAAAACAAGTGTTGGAAAGGATGTGGGATAATGAAATTCTCATATACTGCTGATGGAAGTCTAAAATGTTGCAGCTATTATGTAAAACAGTCTGGCAGTTCCTCAAAAGTTAAACATAAAGTTATCCCATGACCCAGCAATCCCACTCCAAGTATAGGCAAGAGAGCTGAAAACAAATGTCCACCCAAGAGCTTGCATTCTGAATGCTCAGAGAAGGATTATTATTCAGAATATCCCCAAAGTAAAATAACCATCAATGGACCAGATTAAAAACCTGGTATATCCAGGGAATTCCCTGGCAATCTGGCGGTTGGGACTCTACATTTCCACTGCAGGGGCAAGGGTTTGATCCCTGGTCAGGGAACTGAGAGATCTTACAAGTTGTGCAGCCAAAAAATAAAAATTAAAAACACCAGTGCCCCCCTCCAAACTGGTATATCCATATGATGGAATGAAGGAGTGACACATGATACAACACGGATGAAGCCTGAAAACCTCATGCTTAAGTGAAAGAAGCCACATATTGTATGATTCCATGTAGAGAAAAGTCTAGAACAGGTAAATCCACAAAAACAGAAAGCAGACCTGTTGGCGCCAAGGCCGAGAGAACTGGAGGGCAGGGACTGCTCGTGGGTGTGGGGGCTCTTTCTGCGGGGATGGAAACATTCTGGCACCAGAGAGGGTGAGGTGTGAACACGGCCGCCTCCTGCCCCAGGGCTCTGTACCTGGCCTGAGGGCGTCCGACTCCTTTCTTTGTTGTCCCCTGGGGAAAGCCATTGGCGGTGACATCCAGGGGCTGCTCAGGCACTGCACTCCAGCTGATGGCTGTGAAAAGGTAACATTCTGGGGTTAAAGCTATTCAGTTTTCTGTAAATTTCAGAGGTATTTTAGTAAGAATATTTCCCTACCACTGCGACCCGTGAGAGTTGGATATGATGTCAGAGACAGTGGCTGTCACTCTGACGCCTGCCCTCCGGAGTACAAGAGTATAAAGTAGCTCATGATTCTTCATTGTCATCACCATCAGGGCTAAGAATTGTTGGAACATTTATTATATGCTGGACACTCAGCAAATGCATGAAACAGAAGTTCTCATTTATTCCTCATAACAACGCTGATAAATAAATGACAAATTCTTATCTGAAAATGAAGAAACTGAGGGTAAGAGAGAACAAGTTGTCCACAGTCACACAGCATGATCCTGACCCAGTGTGGGTGTCTCCTGAGCCCACATTATTGACAACTTGTGTGGGAAGCCGCTACCCCAGGCCACTCTACAGTCTGGGGACAAGTGACTCCAGAGCAAGTGGAACCTGCCTGGATCCCTCACCTGCACCACAAGGAACAAGTCGGCCTGGGCTGTCAGCCTTTTTCGTCTGCACGGCACAGCGGCTCTGTTCAAACAGTAAATCTGACTGCTGTATTTTCACTTCTTGAACTCCAAATCCTTCTGGTAGAGCTGAGACGTTCTGACACCTAAATGTGAGGGAAAATGCATGAAATTTAGCTCACTCCTCGACAAAGAGAATATCTAGGGCTGTGCACCACATCACCACCCACATCTCAGCAGGAGGCAAAAGTTTTAGAAGGTGTGTGCGTGTGTTTATTTATTTATGGGGATGGTACAGGAGGTAGGGACAGAACAGAACCGAGATCCTCTGAACCTTACGAATGAGGGAAATTCACTCCCATCACTCTGAAGTGAAGCCATGAACTTATCAGCATTCCTCAGGGACTTCAGTAACACCAAACTCTGTTCCTTGTATTGGGTTTGAAAGATGTGAAGACCTTAAGCAGAAATATTAACCTGTTGGCAGCAGCTTCCTAAGGAGTCATTCAAATATACCAGAAACCATAATTATTCTGTAATATAAAACTTCAGTTTTTTCTTGACTATTTCACACAAAGTAGATGCCAACATGAAGTGGATCTAGAACTGAGCAGACAGCAACTTAAAGTCTCAGAATCAGGAAACATGGAAAACAGAGAAAATGCCTTGGGCACCGTGCCTAGGATTGCCTTTTTCCCCCCTGAGCATCTTTATTGGTATAAGTTTATACACCATAAAATTCACCCACTTTAAGTTACAATTCAGTGCTTTCAGTCACAGACTTGTGCAGCAAGCACCAAAATCTAACACATCCGTCACCCCGAGAGAAATCCCAGTCACTCCATAACAGCAGTAACTCCCTGTCTCGTTCTCCAGCCCCCGGCACCCATGAATCTACCTTCTCTGGATTTGCCTACTTTGGACATTTCAGTCCATGAAATCATACAACGTGTGGCTTCTTCCACTTGGCATAAGGTTTTCAAGATTCATCCCTGTTGTGACACGTACCAGACTCCATCCCTTTTTGTAGCTGACTAACATGCCACTATAGGGAGCTACCATCTTTTATTTATCCATTGAGCAGCTGATGGACATTTGTGTTGTTTCAGTTTTAGGGTACTATGACTAACGTTGCTCTGAACACTCATGCACGGCCTTTATGTAGATGTATGTCCTCATTCCTCTTGGTTATGTACCTGGGAGTGGAATCAGTGGGACATATCCTGGCACTGCTCCCAAGAGCTTGCTTTAGGAGAGTGCATTTGACAAGAGCGCCCAGGCTTCCGGGCCGTATTCGGCCCTCAGTTACTACGGCAGTAATCAGGCGTGGCCACCCTTCTTTAGGGAGATCACACTTGGGTGGTCATCCTTCATCTTTTTTCTTTTAAAAAATTAACACTAATGTTTGAGTGTTCTTAAACATAACAATAGCAAACTATGCGCACTGCAAAAAAAAAGAGTAATCACAAAGAAGAAAAAAAATCACCCATAATACCATAACTCAAAGGTAATCATATTAATACCTTGGTATATATCTTTCTATAATTTTTTTTTATATGGACATAATATACTTTAAGACTGAAAGGAACTCATCTTACCTTCTAAATTGCTGTTTAAACATTTTTTACATTTTAAACATTTTTTTAAACATTTTTTAAACAATAAATTTTAAACTTAAAAATGTTTAAGCATTTTTCCATGTTTAATTCTCATCAGTATTAGTTGTAAAAAACAATCACAATCTTCTATGGCTGGCCATTTATGTGGTTTCCTTTTTTTTCTTAATTAGTGTACACAAAACTAATGTTTGAGCACCTCCTTAATCACTTCCTTAGGACAAATGCCTAACTTCTTCTATGTCTGTATCTATGTTCAGGGCCCCGTGGACACACTCCTGGACTGTTTCTGGCGGGACGGCTCCCTCCCTGCCTCTCACCTCCCAAACAGCGCTCTCTGCATGGCCTCCTGGCTGCATGGGCACTTTCCAATGACCACAGCTGAAAGGTAGATGGGTTCTTCTAGGAAGTGCATCAGTAGTGCCCCCTGGCATCCGAGGACGTTCCACCGTGCCAGCTTGTCGCTGCAGGACATGGAGCAAGTCCTGTCCCCCCGGCCTGGCTTCACTCGGAGCAGCCCCACCCGGTGATACGCAGCGCCAGGCTTCTTTGAGTCTCCAGCTCCTCCAGGCACACATTTGGCTCCAGTTCTATAAACGTCCACCACTCTGGCACCACTAGGGGTCATTCCAGTGACAGTGGCCAGTTCCTCTGCTGTGAGATGAGAGCTGTTGACGTTTGGTGGATTTGGGCCCCTTTCCTGACTGCCAAAACTCTGATGGTGAGCTGTGCCATCAGGAGTCCTGGGCTCCAGCCTCATTTTTTTAGTCACAGGACTCTCTGGGTCTTCACATTTCCTTTTATCTTCAGGAGCTTCTAGGTTATCATTAGTTTCTACTGATGGGTTACTGGCCCAATCTCTACTGACAGGACAGCAAGGCTGATCTTCAAACTCAAGCATTGGAATGATGGAGGCGTCCCCACCTGCAGGAGAAGAAATCCCTTAAACCAGTGGTTCCCAAATCGAGGCCCCCGGACCAGCTGCATGAGCATCCCTTGGCAACTTGCTAGAAATGCCAAATCCTGGGACCCACTGTAGACCTGTTGAATCAGAAACTCTGGAGGTGGTACCTAGCAGTCTGTTTTAACAAGCTCTCTATGTGATTCCGATACAACCTTGAGTTTGAGAATGACTGCCTTAAATAATAATACTCTTCTTCCAGCTGACCTGAGATGAATTAAGAACACTTGGCCAAATTTCCCTAATAACAATTCTCTGGTGTTCTCACTGATGACCCAGTGAGCTAGAATCTCTCAGTGGAAGGAGTCTTAAAAATTGAACCATTTAACAAAGATCCCAGGACATTTTGGAAACACTAGATTAGACCAAGGTTTCTCAACCTCCACATGGACATTTGGGGCCAGATAATTCTTTGCCATGGGGGCTTGCTCTATATATTACAAGATGTTCAGCAGTCTCTCTGGTTTCTACCTACTAAATACTAAATACTGACAGTACCCCTGAGTCTGACCATCAAAAATGTCTGCAAATGCTGCCAAGTGTCCCTTGGGGATCAAAACTGTCCTGAGTTGGGGACCCCTGGTTTAGAACGAGCATGGTTTCCCACGTGCATTTTGTGGAGTGTTATCCCCAAGATGACTTGGAAGATAGAAGTGGAGGGTTGATTTCATCGTTAAATAAGTTTGGCAAATAATGCTCACAATTTCGCCACCTTGCATATGCTCTCAGTAAAGACTTGCATAACTGGTATTTCCCTGTGCTGGTTTAGAGATTTCCGACTTACTCTGTGTTTACATGGAACAAAAGAAAACCAGAGGTCAGTAAAAAGCATAGCTTTCCCAAGAGAAGGGAGATTCTTCAAACACTAATGTGTACTGCTTTTCTAAAGTGTGTAAATAATATATCTGTGGTCTATATAATCTAGGAGTGGGAGAGGCAAGAGATGCAGAAATGGGAGTGTTGCCAGAAAGGCTGGCTGGCAGGCTTCCAGAAACCTCACAAGGTGACAGGAACTTTGAAGAATTCCCCAGGGCCCACATCCCACTCCGAAGGCTCAGAGATTTGATCCTGACCGATGTCTGAACTCAGAAGTCTGACTCATGCTAACATAACTCAAATGTAAAAGTCTGAAGTAGCCAACCCAGGCACCAACTTAACAGTCAGTGATGAGGAATAAATGCCAAGTCAGTCAGTCAGTCACATTCTCTAGTGTTCTCTCTTCCCCCAGTGGGGACACCCCACTGTAAAATATTGCCCATCACCCAGGGAGTTAGATCAGCGGTTCCAGATTTTGATTTCACAGACCAGTAAAATCTCCAGAAGATTTTAAGATCAATAGAGTGTTGTCAACTTTTTATTCCCTCAAGTAAGATCTTTAAAAAGCTTATTTACCATTATTTTAAAAATACATAAAAATCTCATAAGCTTAAAATGGAAAGAAATTAGCTTTTTGAAAAACTCCCTGAACAGTCATGAGTTTCCTCATGTGACCACGGAGCAGTGCTCTCTCACAGAGCAGTACCAGCCTGTGGAGCACTGATTTTCATCGTTTGATTAGGTGGTCAGGCTAGCTGTAATGCCCAGATATATCTCTCCACAAGAATGCTACACCTGCTACTGGGACCAACCAGGCCCTGGCTGCTCAAAGTGTGATCCACAGGTCAATACTACTGGCATCACCAGGGAGCTGGTTAGAAATGCAGGCCTCCAGATCCACTCCAGAGCTGCTCTATTTGAATGTTCAGTTTAACAAGATCTTGGGGTGCATGTTATATATATTACAGTCTCAGAAACACTGAGCTAAGAAACATCCTTTGGTCCTTGGGTGCCTTGCTAAGAATAGAGTATGGATGAGCCCTGCCTCCCTCTGTATGTCATTTTTCTGTTCTCTCATAAAGCTATATTATATTTTTTATTTGAATTATGATCTTTAGTTACTGTCTCTAAAGAGTGATTACCTATCTGCTCTAATAGCATGTGTTAGTTTTAAAGTTTAATACTCATGGGACAATCTTATATCCTTATTTCAAAATTTTGAGGGTGAGGAAATTTTACTATCATCCCTGAGTTGTCTACAAGGGTAGAAATTATTCTCAATATTCAAGACAGAAAAACAAAGGATAGAAATGACCCCATTGGCCAGGTCTGGTCTTCCTGCCTAATGCAACTACAGCACCCGGACATCCCCTTAAATTCATCAAAATCTACCTTAACTCACCATGATTGTCTATATAGCTCATGAAAAATGAAAGGTTAAGTGAGGGACTAGTCTTATTCACTGCTACATAACTGATGTCACACTTGCCTGACATATAATAGAAAATATGTGTTTAATGAAGAGGTGGCAAGAATACATAGAAGAACTGCACAAAAAAGATCTTCATGATGCAGATAACCACGATGGTGTGATCACTCACCTAGAGCCAGACATCCTGGAGTGTGAGGTCAAGTGGGCCTTAGGAAGCATCACTACGAACAAGGCTATTGGAGGTGATGGAATTTCAGTTGAGCTATTTCAAATCCTAAAAGATGATGCTGTTAAAGTGCTGCACTCAATATGCCAGCAAATTTAATGCAGCAGTAGCCACAGGACTGGAAAAGGTCAGTTTTCATTCTAATCCCAGAGAAAAGCAATCCCAAAGAATGCTGAAACTGCCGCACAATTGCACTCATCTCACATGCTAGCAAAGTAATGTTCAAAATTCTTCATGCCAGGCTTCAACAGTATGTGAACCGTGAACTTCCAGATGTTCAAGCTGGATTTAGAAAAGGCAGAGGAACCAGAGATCAAATTGCCAACACC